CAGTGTCTGTGGTGGGCTCTGCCAGGTCTCAAGTGGGCTGTGCAGGGTCTATGGTGGGCTGTGTGGGGTATGTGGTGGACTGTGCTGGGTCTGTGGCAAGCTTTGTAGGGTCTGTGGTTGGCTCTGCACTGTCTCTGGTGTGCTGTGCAGGATCTATGGTGGCCTGTGCGGGGTCTGCAGAATCTATGGTGGGCTCTGCGGGGTCTCAGGTGAGCTCTGCAGGTCTATGGTGGGCAGGTCTAGGGTCTCTGGCTGAGACACTGCAGAGCCCGCAAGAGATCCTTTACAGTCCACCTTAGACCTCGGCTTCCCTCCTACGCTAATAATGCAACCTGTCAGAAGCTGGATAAAGTGTGCACGCTGTATCCACCGACTTACAAGTTATGACAAATGTCTTAAACAGGAAGGGGTGGGACAAATTTAGATTGGGGGGATGCCTGAGTGTAGTCTTGGCCTAGGGAGGCACAATACCTAAATACACCACTGCTCACATGCATACAAGGCCCAGTAGGCAGGAGCCAATTAATCTACCAGCATGTCTTTGGAGTGTGAGAGAAAACTGGAGGAAACCCAGACAAGCACATGGAGAACATCCAAACTCCTTGCAGATAGTAACCTTGACAAGATTCAAACCAGAGACCCCCCTGGTGCTGCAAGGCAGCAGCGCTAATCAGTACGCCACTGTGCTGCCTATAATTATAATTTTATAAACTGGTGTTTGATATTTCAAATATGCCCTAATCCATTTTAGTGGGGCATTGTGCATGTTTGGACAGGTATAACGTATTGAACAGTAGATTAGAAGCTCTCAGGAGCAGGGTCCTTCTAATCTTTTCCTATGGTATTTATATTGTAATTGTACTGCCTCCCCATATGTTGTAAAGCGCTGCGCAAACTGTTGTAGCTATAGAAATCCTGTATAATAATAATATTACATGTCTGTATCTCAGAGTGCAGTTTTTACTGAAGTTGTTAGCGACTTTCATTCATCTGCCAGTTCACATTATGTAGTTGTTGAATGACTAAGTTTACTTTGTCAACTCTAACAATCATCATCTCAGTGATGAACAGACATCCCTGCAGGACACAGGGTGCCAGTGCAGATATGCACATTTGTGGATAAAAACAGTTGCTTTTTGTGTGATATATGAAGTATGCTGATGCTCGCTGTATCCTGCAGGAACTTCCATGAAACGTTGGTCTACTGAGTGCCAACGGCTGTCAAAGTCAACACATATCTGCAAGCTTCCAGATCCTTTCAGCTGTTTAAAGTGATACTAAAGTCAAGACTTAAATCTTAAAAAAGCATGCAAGTACCTTAACCCCTTCGGACAAAGGCCTTTTTTAAATTTTTTTGCAATCATGTTATAATCCACCTTATAGGCCTGAAAATGACTTAAAACCGCCCAAACATTAAATATTTTCTGAAAGCCAAGACCCTATAGAATAAAATGGTGGCAGTTGCACATTTTTATGTTTCACGACATTAGCGCAACTTATTATCAAACCCAAAAATGTAGTGTAAAATGCACTTAAGGTAAATTTAGTATTTAGATGAGGTTACAATGAGTAAATAGATACCCAACATGCCTAGGTAAAAAATTCCCCGTCCCCGTGAAAATGCAACAGAATTCAGTTCCCCAAAAAGTCCATAGACGACACTTTAAAAGCCCCTACAGGTCATCAGTTTAGAGATACGCGTAAATATTGGCCCCAGAATTTTTGCTCTCCCTCTGGCATGAGTGGTGATGCCCAACATGTGTAAAGCAATCGTCGTTTTCATACATAGGTGCACCCGACGTGTGGTTACGTGATGATGTGCGTGCTCGCGGGGGCAGGGGACTTTTAAAATTGTTTTAATGGTTTTTACATTTAAATTAATTTTAAACTTTTTTTTTTTTTTTTTTTTAAACTTTACTTTAATTACTATCACATAGGGGGACTTTCAAGTGACAGGTACTCTTTAAGGTAATGCTGGGAGTCCAAAACACCCCTAGTATCACCTTTACTTTCTAAATAAGCAATTGAAGTGCACTTCAATAGCTTGTTGCTGGGCTTCAGGAGCCCAGCACTGAGAGCTATGGGACCGTAAGTGATGCAATATGCGTCGCTCCCATTCCCATAGTAAGGGTAGGAAATTGGTGAATGGACGTTCACCAATCTCCTCCCCAGCTTCTCGCCGACACCAAAGAAGCTGTTCCTGGGCCCGGGCAGCGGAGCCCAGGAAACATAGTGGGGCTGTCGTGCGGGTGGGGGCCCAGCTTAGCCACCAGAATCGCTTGTACTGTAAAGCTGGTCGTTGGCTCTACAAAACTGAACAGACTCCCGGCAGCGGTCTCTTTAACCCCTTCAGACTTAATGGCAAGATTATCCGGTCATGGGTCGTGAAGGGGTTAAAAATGAACAAAAATGTTTCTTATTTGTGTATCACTCGGCTGTAGATTCTCAAATCATCTCTGAATTGGTGCTGACACTGTCCTTCCTTCTGGAGGTTGGCTACTTTTGTTCTCCATGGTCCCTGTATGTGTTGTAAAGTAGCCACCACTCCAAGCTCACTCCCGTGATGAACTACAATCTCATGTTTAGTTTACTAATTTGTATTGAGATTGTGGTTCATTATGGGAGTGAGCTTGGAGTGGTGGCTTCAACAAACCTAAGGAACAAGCGGGGACAAAAGTAGCCACCCTCTAGAAGGAAGGACAGTGTCAGCAAGAATTCAGAGATGATTTGAGGATCTACATCAGAATGATACACAAATAGGATAAAAAATGTTAAACCTGCCTAAGAGGGGAATTATCTTAGCTTTTGGAGATTTCCTCTAACTTCCTGTTGTGTCTCTGCGAAGGAAATGAAGGGAACCTTTCCCAATGGTACACAGACAGCAAAAAATAAATCGACAAGGGATGCACCGATACCGATACTAGTATGGGTGCCGATGCCGACTATTTGGGTGAGTACTCAGACTCGTCCAAATGCTCCGATGGCCCGATACTTGGGCTTCCCAGTCAAGAAGCCGGGCAGCGAGTCATTGCATGCTGCCCAGCTTCCTGATTGGCCGGGAAGCCGGCTCCATGTTCCATGCTCCCTTGTCACTTGTGACGAGGGAGCATGGAGTCCACATCCTGGCCAATCAGGAAGCCGGGCAGCATGTCATTACACGCCCCCCGGCTTTCTGATTGGCCAGAAAGTTGGCTTCATGCTTCCTTGTCACCTGGTGACGAGGGAGCCTGGAGCCGGCTTCCCAGCCAATCAGGAGGCTAGGAGCCATGTAATGACGCATTGCCCGGCTTCCTGAGTGGCCAGCTTCTCCACCAATCCGGAAGCCGGGCAACGTGTCATTACATGGCGCCCGGCTTCCTGATTGGTCAAAAAGCAGTCTCCATGCTTCCTCCTCACCTGGTGACGAAAGAGCATGGAGACGGCTTCCCTGCTAATCAGGAAGCCAGTTGGCGAGTCATTACATGCCACCTGGCTTCCTTAATGGGACTTCCGGTATTGGTATTCCGTATCAACGAGTACAGAAAAAAAAATATCGGTACTCATACTCGATGCCGAAATACCGGTATCTGTGCATCCCTAATTTTAACCCCTCACTACTGTGTTCTAAATTCAAAAATAAAGTTTTGGCTATGCATACATTTTAATGGGTATTGTTTGAAAATTTACAGTAGTCATGGTAAGACACTTAGGGTCTACAAAAAACATTTATACATGTTTTCACACAAGTATAACACAACTTTCACCCAACTTTCACACATTTTTCTAATTAAATTCTTGAAAAAAGGGGAATCTGGGAAAGGTCATGCTTAATAGAAAATTGCTGGAAGCTGGTTTCCAAGCTACACCCTCTGTCTCTTTTGTATGGCATAAAAACACAGTAAAACTGAAGAGTAATACAAAACAATTTAGTAAATGGATAGATCTGTCCTTGAACGGTTGCTGACTACATAGGTAGCACAGAAAAGCTTCAGATAAAAAAAATCATGCTCCATTTGGGCTTAGGAGCTTCTTCAACCCTTGTTCTGCACAATAAGAGTAGAATTCATCCAAATACAACTAAATTAGCATTAGAATGATAGCAATTATTTGTTATATTAATCACGAAACTGGTAGCACAGTTACACATCTCTGTAATAGTGAAAGATACCACAGCACAAAACCAAACTGGGGGAGTATGCAATGCTGCGGGCAAAGTGTGCATATAGTTGATATATAAAGTGTGAAAATTCTTAGCTGCTGTGTGAATTAGATGTGAAATGAAGAGAACAATTAATGAGCCAACAAAAGTCCAACGCAGACATGATGCAGAATTGTAATGTTCATAAAAACCATCCCTTATAAATATAGTGGAGAGTAGTGATGAGGGAGGGGGAGGATGGGGAGAGGAGCCAGAAAGGGGGGGGTGATATATAAATATACAAGGGAATGTTAATTAATGTGTGCAGTTATAGTAGGTGAGAAGTAAAAACTATATGGGATACAATGAGATGCCAAATGTATATGTGTATGTATAAGGATATGTATGTAGGTGTATAGGGATATATGCATATGTATAGGGATATATGTAAACAGCTGTTCTTCGATACCTATATATTTACCTGTATGTATGAATATATATTTATATTTATGAAGTATATCTATGAAATTAATAAAATCTTATTCTATAAGTTCATAAAAAGATCTAATTTATGACAGTTTAAAAGAGAAGTAAAGCCAAACCTTTGTTTGGCTTTACTTCTCTTTTGGGTCACAAAAGTACATTTACTAATATACTCCTGTGACCCAAAGTCAGCAGATAGCAGGCTACTGCCTGCTATCTGCTGACAGTGCAGAGCCACACTGCAGCTGGGAAGAATGCCGATAATGTTGTTGGTATTCACCTGGCTGCCTGATTGACAGCCGGCTCTGCCTCTCTAGAGCCAGAGCCAGCTGTGCCTGCCCCCTCCCCATCTGTCCTTCGAGTGAGCACTGGAGGAGCAGATAGGGGAGGGGGAAAATACCTGCAGGAAGTGGTAACTGACAATCACAGGTCTCTGCAGGGAGAACACCTTGAGAAGACTGTGAGATGAGCGATCATCGGTTACATGATGGCTCAGCTCTTGGTATACAGCTGGAGTGTGACAGCTGCAGTGTCCTACGCTGGTTTGAAGTATAGGGAAGACTATATTATACTTCTCCTTTAAACATGAAGCACATGTGTGGTTTCCCCACAGACACCAAAAAGATACAAGTCTGAAAGTTAGAATCTAACTAGCACTTATGGTAAAATAATTGCAATTTGCATCTACACACTTCAATAAACAAATTCCATATACAGTATACATCAATGTTCATCATCAACAATCATTTTGGGTCAATTTTATTGCCTTTGGACTCTCTCTCTGACTGATGTTCTATATCCAGCTATTCCTCACTTAACGAGTTAGTACAGTAGTGTTGGAGATGTACAGTACTGTACAGTGTACTGTAAATCTGTAAATACAGTACTTACCGAGAATAGCAGCGGAGATCGGACTACAGTACTGTATGCAAGATGAAGTCTGTGAGATGCCGCACTGCCACTGCCACGTTCCTGCACGTACTGTCAGAGAGCTGGTCGTAAGTGCGAGCGGTCGCTAAACAGGGAGGGTCGTTAAGTGAGGAATACCTGTAGTCCATCGGAATACATACTGGAGGGAAGGAGTGAGAGGATCTCTCATATGACTCATTCAGTTGTGTGTGTAAATTGTAGCTTTTGAGTTCTGTATACAACAAGCTTTTGTCAAAGGAGCAGCTCAGAACAGACATGATAACATGACACTAGTTACCAGAGGTTTAACCTGCTGTCTGTAAATGTAAGAATTAAATATTTTTAGCAATTCTTTTTCCCTAAGCAAAATAAAGAAAGAATATAAACAAAAATGTATCTTGGTTCATCTGATGTGCCAGCTGCTACCAGCAAGGCTATGCTATGGTTGGTGTTCTGGCAGTGCCACCAACAAGCTCCCACCACGCTTTCGGTGGTTCTAGTGAAGATCAGCTCTCCCTTGGGTAAGCACCCTTGGTGATAGCTTTCTACTGTGCTTCTAGTGGCCAGAAGCATCTGTAACTGATAGGAGAATTAAAAGAGAACTATGGGGTAAGTGTTTTTCACCATAGTTCTCTTAAGGGTCACGGGAGGACATATACTAGCATCCTCCTGTGACCCAAAGTAGCTTGCGGTACACTGAGACCACTGCAGCCAGGATCGATCCCGACATTACTGTCGAGATTCACTGTCAGACGTCCCAGGGAGCTAGTAGTGAGATGAGGAACCCACTGGCAGTAAGCAGCTGACAGTCCAGAAACGCGGTACAAGTTTAGGGATAATCCAAGAGGGGTAGTCAATGTCCAATCCGGGTCGAGGCAGGCAGTGAAGGTTCAAAGGCGGAAGACAGTCCAAGGGTCAGTAATCGGGAAGGATACAAAGGGGGCAACAGGCAATAGGAGGATCAGCAGGGAGGCTAGGTGTTCACCATAAGGTGGAATAACTCAGCAATAAGCCAGAGCTCAGGCCAGGTTTTTATAGCCAGGGGAGGTAGGACCACCCCCTGGTCACCGAGGCAACCAGGAGGCCTCCCTCCCCAGGAACCAATGGCAGGCGAGGAAGATGGAAGGTGTGTACTGGGAACCTCCCCCAGCAAGGCCCACACCTGATAGCCAGATGATGCAGGAACACTATGCTCCCGGGGATGCGCGCGCAGCCTGCGCATGCGACCACGCCGCGTGACTCGCGCATGCGCACCTGCACCTCGGGCACCAGGTGTTCTACCGAGCTGAAGGGGTACCCGTGCCCTGCGCCGTGCCCGTGGTCCCCGAGTAGAGGTAACACCCCCTGCTTCCTGACATTCACCCAGCTGTGTGAGTGACAGCTGGCTCTGCCTATCTAGAGGCAGAGCCAGCTGTACCCGCCCCCTCCCCCGTCCGTTCCCCCAGTCAGCTCTGGAGGATCGGACAGGGGAGGGGGGAATCCCTGCAGGGAGCCATGAGTGACAGCTGGCTCTGCTATCTAGAGGCAGAGCCAGCTGTGCCCGGCCACTCCCCCGTCCGTTCCTCCAGTCAGCGCTGGAGGATCGGAGAGGGGGAAATCCCTGCAGGGAGCCGTGACCGACAGTCATGGCTCTCTGCAGGGAGATGATCGAGAAGTGAGCGAGCGACGGTATGTGTTCGCTCACTTCACGATCTATCGAGCCGACGTGTGACACTTTCATTGTCACAGGTTGGCTCGAACTATGAGGAGGAGTGATTTTCACTCACCTCATAGTTCTCCTTTAATCTTCTTCTCTTATTCTTGGTTTGTATATAGTTAATATTTTGAGCAAGTAGAACTGTGCTTTTTAGAAGGCTCTGAATAAACTGGCCTTGAACCGCTTTCACTTGTTCGCAGCTGCATTCTTGTATCATGAGAACTGTGTCTTATCTCATTTTCTGTAACCACTTGTATGACCGTTCTGTATACAACAAGCTTTTGTTAAAGGAGCAGCTCATAACAGACATGTCAGTTTTATTGCCTTCGGACTCTCTCTCTGACTGATATTCCATATAGTCCATCTGAATACATACTGGAGGGAAGGAGTGGGAGGAATCTCTCATATGACTCATTTAGTTGTGTGTGTAAATTTGAGCTTTTGAGTTCTGTATACAACAAGCTTTTGTCAAAGGAGCAGCTTAGAACAAACATGATAACATGACACTCGTTACCAGGAGTTTAACCTGCTGGCTGTAAATGTAAGAATTAAATATTATTAGCAATTTTCTTTCCCTAAGTATATTAAAGAAAGAATATAAACAAAAATGTATCTTGGTTCATCTGATGTGCCAGCTGCTACCAGCAGGGCTATCCTATGGTTGATGTTCTGGCAGTGCCACCAACAAGCTCCCACCACACCTTCGGTGGTTCTGGGGAAGATCAGATCTCCCTACGGTAAGCACCCTTGGTGATAGCTTTCTACTGTCCTTCTAGTGGCCAGAAGCATCTGTAACTGATAGGAGAATTAAAAGAGAACTATGGGGTAAGTGTTTTCCCCCATAGTTCTCTTAAGGGTCACGGGAGGACATATACTAGCGTCCTCCTGTGACCCAAAGCTCAGTATATCGCGAGCTACAGCTCGCGCTACACTGAGACCGCTGTAGCCAGGACGGATCCCGACATTACTGTCAAGATCCACCCAGCTGCGTGAGTGACAGCTGGCTCTGCCTATCTGGAGGCAGAGCCAGCTGTACCCACCCCCTCCCATGTCCGTTCCGCCAGTCAGTGCTGGAGGGTCAGAGAGGGGAGGCGGGAATCCCTGCAGGGAGCCGTGACTAAAGGTGCCCATACACCTTACAATTATCTGCAGATTTTCTGTGGTCAGATGGAAAAAGTGCAACAGATTGGCCCAGGTAGAGATTACTCCATCCACACAGTTAAGTGTAGATGGAGGAATCTGTTTCCACCTTTTCCATTTGACCACAGAAAATCTGCAGATAATTGTAAGGTGTATGGGCACCTTGACACTCAGGGCTCTCTGCAGGGAGATGATCGAGAAGTGAGAAGTGAGGGAGCGACGGTATGTGTTCGCTCACTTCCAGATCTATAGAGCTGACGTGTGACAGTTTAATTGTCACACGTCGGCTTGAAGAAGATTTTCACTCACCTCAAAGTTCTCCTTTAATCTTCTTCTCTTATTCTTGGTTTGTATATAGTTAATATTTTGAGCAAGTAGAACTGTGCTTTTTAGAAGGCTCTGAATAAACTGGCCTTGAACCGCTTTCACTTGTTCGCAGCTGCATTCTTGTATCATGAGAACTGTGTCTTCTTATCTCATTTTCTGTAACCACTTGTATGACCGTTCTATGACCCATAGTTGCATTTATTAATTTATATACACGTGCATGATTTTTATGCTCGCCCCCTTGGACAATAATGGGGTGTGAGCCTGAATATTGAAAATAGCATTCTCTTGTCCCCCAGTCAGAGCAAATGCAGGCCTTCGTTTAGTCATTTGCCAGGCCTTCCACAGAACAGAGATCTACTTATCTGGCTGTGATCTTTATTGCCCCCAGCCCTAGTGAGTCCCAAATAACCTCTAAAGGTGCCCATACACCTTACAATTATCTGCAGATTTTCTGTGGTCAGATGGAAAAAGTGCAACAGATTAGCGCAGGTGGAGATTACTCCATCCACACAGTTAAGTGTAGATGGAGGAATCTGTTACACCTTTTCCATCTGACCACAGACAATCTGCAGATAATTGTAAGGTGTATGGCCAGCTTAAGCCTTTTATAGCGGTCCCTAATTAAAGGCATGGGACCAGGCACTCATCTATTACCAGTGGACAAGTTAATATTCACAAGCCGGTCTGGTAGAGGTAATGACCCAGGTCACCCAGCATTCACCCAAAAGTCATAAACCTGAGTTATAAAATCAGCTACATTTCATAATATGGAATTGGGCGGTGATAGTGTAAAATAAAGGTTCATCCTCCTCCTGATTTCCATCCCCAGCCCTGCCCTAGGGGCCGACTCCATGAGACCCCCTTTAAGGGCTAATAAAGCAACTAGGGAGGCTTTTGTTTTGAAACACCAAGAAAGAAACATCCAGAAAAGAACTCAAGTAACATCAAAATGCCTTAACATCGCAGAAGAGTTCCCCTTTAATCTCTGGAAAGCATCTGCTGAAAGCTTGCTTGAAGAAGAGCCCTGCAGACTTCTCCTTTGCTTATTGAACTCTGAACTCTGTCAGAACTCCTAAAACCAGGACTGTTAAGGACGATCTTAAAAATCTTTAAGCTTATCTCTACGCTCTAAATACGAACTTAAAGTATCCTTGCCTCTGTGAAGAGCGCTACTGTATAGTGAATCCTTTCATATTTCTGTCTGAGAGGACAGCGGTATCATAGGAGGTGTTTTAAATGGTCACTGCACTTGCTGGGCACGGTCTGTGTTTCCATTAAAAAACACATGGTGGCAGCGAACGTTTGGTGGTGGCAACCACCCAGGGGCGTATCTGCCTCAAGGCAAACAAGGCGTTTGCCTCGGGCGGCAGATTCCAGGGGGACGACAAAAATGCCGCCCCCCAAAACATTTAGGCAGACGAGCTGCACAGAAACCATCAGCCTGGCTGCGTAATGTGAACGGGGAGAAAGCGGCGGGCGGTGGAGCAGGAGGAGACGGGGGACGGAGCAGTAGGAGGCAGGGGGCAGAGACAGAGGAGATGGGGCGGAGAAGGAAGAGGCAGGGACAAAGACGGGGGAGGCGGGGGTGGGGCAGAGACGGAGGAGGCTCCGCCGGAGCTCCAGTCGGGCAGTGAAGATGTGACCATCGGGCGATGAGGACGAGGAGGCTGTGCTACGAAGAGGTCGGGCAGCGGAGGAGGCTGGGTTTCCTGTGCCAGGTAAGAGGACTGTGCTGGCAGAGCCCAGCATAGATTCTGCACAGCCCACTAAAGAGTCTCAGGTGGGCTGTGCAATACCCATTGGTGGGCTCTGCAGGATCCATAGGGGGTTCTGCAGCCTGCTAAGCCCACCACAGATCCTGCACAACCCCTCTGAGATTCTGCAGACTGCCGGGTCTCAGGGGCTCTCTGCAGGATCTGTGGGGGGCTGTGCTGGGTCTCAGGGGGGCTTTGCAGGATCTGTGGTGGGCTTTGCAGGATCTGTAGGGTGCTCTGCAGGGTATCAGGGAGGCTGTGCAGGATCTCAGGGGGGCTCTGCAGGGTCTTAGGGGGGCTGTGCAGGATCTGTGAAGGGCTCTGCCGGGTCTCAGGGGGGCTTTGCAGGATCTGTAGTGGGCTCTGCAGAGCCTCAGGTGGGCTTGGCAGCCTGAGACCATGCAGAGCCCAACAGATCCTTCACAGCCCACCTGAGACCCTGCAGAGCCCACCACAGATCCTGTGAAGCCTACCACAGACCCTGCAGAGTACACCTGAGACCACAGCTTTCCTGCTACGCTAATAGCGGAACATGTCAAAAGCTGGATACAGCGTGTGCAATGTATCCAGCGACTGACAGGTTACGCAAAAAGTAGTAAACAGGGGGGGCACCCGAGTTTTGTCTTGCCTAGGGCAGCCCCAAACTAGAATTCACCACTGCCCCCACCTTGTATTAGCAGTTGGCAGCAGAGAGGACAGAACTCCTCCTACGGAACCTGAGCCTCTCTTTGCAGCCGCAGCACCCCCCTCATCTCCGACTCCCCTGGTCTCAGCATTTAGCAGACTCCGACAGCTGACTTCAGCCCTCCTCTGCTTCCCAGCTCCGCCCCCAGCTTCTTTCCGGCAGCAGCACAAGGTAAGGGGGGTGCACTGTGATGTAGGATGACATGGGGGCATAGGATGACATGGGGGCACAGGATGACATGGGGGCATAGGATGACATGGGGGCACAGGATGACATGAGGGCACAGGATGACATGGGGGCATAGGATGGCATAGAGACACAGAATGACATGAAGACACAGGATGACATGGAGACACAGCATGGCATGGAGACACAGGATGACATGGGTGCATAGGATGACATGGGGGCACAGGATGACATGAAGACACAGGATAACATGGAGGCACAGGATGATATGGGGCACAGGGTGGCATGAAGACACAGGATGACATGAAGACACAGGATAACATGGAGGCACAGGATGATATGGGGCACAGAAGATGGGACCATGGGAGACGCGGCCCCGGCCAGCGGAGGCTCCAGCAAGATGCTTCGGTGGCTGGAGGAAGAAGAGGCATGTCCTGAAAGCAGGCTGGGGAGCTACAGGCAAGAGGAACGGCATGTGTGCAGGGAAAGGGACCCTCCACAGCCCATCATAAATCCTGCACAGCCCACCTTAGAGTCTCTGTGCAAGGTCTATGGTGGGCTCTGGGGGGGTCTCTGGTGATAGATCACAGCACAATTATTTGTTTTGCCATAGTTCTGTCTGTCTCAATTGGGACTAAAAATGTAAATAAAGTTATTATAATAAACAGTGCTTGGCCATATTTGTCTGATGATTAAAAAAAAAAATAACTTTCTGTTAATCACAATCTACTGTAATCTACTATATCTTGGATCGGTCTGACTGTAGCAAAATGGAAATCTGGTTGGTAACTATGAGTTACTACACTTAGCTATTTTTTTGATTGCACTGATTTTTGACCAAAGGCATTAGCTTCACTTACCACCACCTTCATGAGGAGCCACAAGGTAGTCATGGAAAGTTTCAGAAGTACATGATAGTTTGTGAGCATCATGGGTACCTGCTATTGGTGTAGCAAGTCAACCAGGGGCAGACTGACAACGCAAGGGAGCCCCCGGGCAATACAAGATTGCAAGGGGGCCCCTTTGTTCTCCGCCCATAGACAAGCCCCACCCGCATATACATTCTTGTGTTACAGAATTATTTCGCCACACTATTTCCAGGCCTAGTCACTAAAACTTGAA